GGACGGGACGCGGTTGTGCTGTGGCGAGGTATGTCGCAAGCAGAGTGGTGGCAAGCAGGGTGTGGTGTCGGTATGGGACGGACGCTCGGGGAAGAGAATATCGAAATTTGATGATTTTTTGGCAACGGCAATATCTCTGTCCGGGGATGGGAGATGGTTGGCTGCTTCCGGTGACGGCGGGGAGGTTTCTGTGAGGGACACAGAGACCGGGGCAGAAGTACGGCGGCACATCGCGACACGCGGGTCGCGTGTTGGCGTCTTGGGCTGGCTAGAAGATGGAAAGCGGATGTTTTCTGCGGATGAGAATTTCAATATTGTCATTTGGAGGTGGGATAATCTGGAGAGGGTGCAGGAGGAGGAAGAGGAAGTCGACAAGGTCAACAAGGAAGGGCAAGAATTCACGGCTGTTGCGTGGTCAAGCGATGACATATGTGCTACTGTGGTTGGAGACGGAGACGTAGTGATGTACGATGTGAAGACGGGGAAGAAGATGTGGGGGGATGCTGAGACACACGTAAGCCCTGTGTATTGTCTGGAGATGTCTAGAGATAGCAAGCGGGTGTTTACGGCAGCAAGAGATGGAACGTTTGCGATGTGGGACAGCAAGACGGGCGACAAGTTGTGGGAAGGCGGGGAGGCCTGGGCCAAGGATGATTACGCAGAAGCAGAAGCATGTTGGTCCAATGATGGGACGAGGGTGTTCGTGTCGTTTAGAAGGGGGATGGGGTTGTGGGACGGGAAGACTGGGAACAAGTTATGGGAGAGAATCACGGACACCTACATGTGGATCGGGTGCATGGCGTGGGCTGGAAACGACACGAAGATCGCGCTTGGCAGTTGGAGTAACGACGGCAGGGTCGTGCTGTTAAGCGCCAGAACGGGAGAGGCGATCAGGGTGGCATGTGGGCATACAGATGGCGGGGTCGTGCTGCGGGGCGCCAAGACAGGAGAGACGATGGGCGATGCCCCCGAACGTGTCCCAGATTCGGTCGGCCTGAAATGGGCTGCGGACCGCGGTCTGCTTGAGTGGTATTCAGACGAATTTGCAGACGAAGTTCACATAGATTGGTTCAACTTTGTGAAGCGGCCCTGGAGAGAAGGTGAAGAAGGTGTGCGGGCTTCGTTCTCTGTTGAGCGGGCTCCGTTCTCTGTTGGGCGGGCTCTGCTCCGTTTTGATGCTTCTTCTGATTCTTCTGATTCGGCTGGTTCGGTGAAGTGGTCTCCAGATGACAAGTGGATCGCGTCAACTGGATATAATATGTCTCCAAATTTGTCTCCAAATTCTGATGTTGAAAATGATGAAAATGGGAAACCAAGCAGAGTCGGAGTTATGATCTGGAATTGGGAGACAGGTGTAACATATCGGTACCAGTGCCAGCTCGAGAGATATTATAAGTATGGTTTACCACTCCATGCGCTGGAATGGTCTGACGACGGACGACGCGTAGCCCTTGGAATTGGAAGAGAGCTTGCGATATGGGATATTGAGACAGGGGTGATGTTAAGGTATAGCACAAACAGTGAAGATCTAATGCACAGTGAAGATCTAATGCAGATTGCTTGGTTCCGGGACGGGTCGCGAATAGCGACGTTGGGTGCTACAATGTTGGGTATTACAATGTTTGATGGAGGAGGAAAGTTGCGAATCCTGTCCGTGACGCTGTCCGTGACGAGTCAAAGCGCTGTCTGCGAAAAGCAATACGATGGTGTTGGGTATCTCAAAGAGAGCGATCTGCGCCAGTTCATCGATACGAATGAGGGCAAACTCACGGCGGCGGATCTAGAGAGGAAACTAGAGAGGAAACTGAGGATTCGGCAAAGGCACGATGGAGTGTTCTACAAGACAGGAGATGACGAAATCCGCCTAGCAACCGTTGCCGGATATCGTTGGTTCCGTTCTACTTCAGGTCGGCACATTGCGATCCAGGTAGAAACAAAACTGTACTTTTACGAGCTCGTGCAGTAGTGTGATTGTGAGTGTGTGAATAACCACTGGGCAAAAGGGGATGTCCCGGCCAGGACAGGACAGGAGGGGTTGTACCCACGGTATATGTAGTAAGGGATGATGTGCCAGGAGAAATTTGTATGTATTCGATGTTGTTTCTAATCACCCGACGCCTCGATGCCCCTCTCCGCAAAAAAAGTAGTCGGTACATCTTTTCTATGTATCGCGCGCAGTTGCGTCAGTGTGCGGGGAATAGTGTCGTCCGTAGAGACTGCGCGTAGCGAGACCAGCAAACAAAACTGGAGGCGGAACAGGCACATGCGATACCAGTCGTTGTAGTATGAAGTTCAAGATATGCACGGCGACTTGCGGTGGTTTTCGCTTTGTCAGGTATTAGAAACCTTGACGACGGTGTTAGCGTTGAGGTTGACGGCATGTGTAGCGTCGAAGACGGGCGGTCGTCGGGAGGCTGTGGCTTGTTGGTAGTGGTGGGGGGAGCATGATGGAGCATGAAGAGGTTGTGTGAAATGGAGGTTTTGGGTTGTTTGGACACGGGCAACTGCTCGTGCACGGACACTCACACATTAATGTGTATTAATGTGTAAGTGTGTTGAGTGTCCCTGTTCCAACCATCTCTTAAGAGATCTCTTAAGAGATGGTTGGAAACAGGGAGGAAGAAGACAGGGATACGGGATACCGCCGTGGCTATCCGATCAGCACTTGTTTGTGGTTACACCGTCAAGTAGACCGAGGCCAGGCACTCTTCCTTGTGCTCGGTGGGATGGCCAGAGACGACATTGTTTCCTGCCGCGGCCATTCTTGCTCGCCGGACATTCTCACTCACCGGAGGTACGACAGTCAGAAACACGTTGCAACCTGAATGTGATATATACATGTATAGTGAAGTCCCTTCTGCAATACATTTCACATACTTACAAAAAATGGCGGGAGAACGAGAGAACGAGTGTGTGTTTTGTTCACCGTCGAGGGCTTGGATGACGTTCCCTTCAGTGAGGATGAGGGTGTCGTCGGCGGAGGCGATCGGGATAGAAAGGGGGGGAAACGAGAGGGCGGCGATGGGAACGGCGGTGCACCGGGAGGGGCGAGTCTAATGGCCATTTCTGAGTTGTGAGTTGCTGCATTTTTCTTTGCTCAAGACCTTGTTTCAATTAAAAAAGCGTTTATATAATTTAATACTGTAGCGCACAAGGGCCGACTCTCAGCACCCGGCGCCTACCGCTACGTGATCAACTTTCCGTGATCAACTTTCCGTGTTGCCAAACCAAAGGCATCAACCCCTCCTCGTCCTTCTCCGGCACCTTGACGCCGTCAATCTTCGTCAAAACAATGTGATGGTCCTGCACATCCTCGGTATGCTCAATCGTGCAACTTGCCGCCACCATGCACTCTTCCTCCAGCCGTGTCCTATCCTCCTTCCCCAACGCAGCCCTCGTCACGTACCGCTCGGCAATGTCCTTCTGCCTTGTCGAAAGCGCGAACAGCCTCACGCCCGCCCCGACCCCGCCGAGCCCCGCGTAGAACGCGCTCGAGTGCCCCACATTGAAGCATATCATCCCGCGCGCCGCCGCAGGCACCGTGACGGACGTCGCCGTCATCGCCAGATCCTCCCCGTGGGCCGCGCTGGTTGACACCACCCACATTGCCGACGGCATCTGCCGCAGCAACGTTTTGGTTTGCTTGTCCAGTGGGTAGAACGGCAGCTTGGAGCGCGGTACGTCGAGTGCCACCGCCCGCTTGGCAAGGTACGTGTCTCGGTAAATCGCCTGCACGAATTCCGCCTCGCCTAGGCTCACCGCCGTTACCGCCGCCTGTACCACGGCGCACCCGCCCACGACGGAAATGTTCTTCAGCGATAAGTCGGCCGTGACGCCTGTCTTGCGCTCGTCCAGCATCAGTGACGAGGATGATGATGATGACGACGTCGAAGGCCGCGGCGCGAGAAGCTCCACCCTTACCTGGTTGAGGGGGTCTTCCGCGACGAGCGACGCCCTTTTGAAAAACTCGTCATCCGTCACAAATAAGACCACCTGCTCCGGCTGCATGGAGCACCCGCGAAAGTTGTCAAGTTCAATCTCCGCCCCGTCAAACGTGCACCGGTAGTAGTTGGTCACTGTGTGGTGCCCAATATCAGCAACCGCTTGCTGCCGCTCTGCGGCGGAGAGGCCCTTCTCATCGCCGGAGCTCGTGGACGTGGAGTTGGGCTCGCTCCGCAGGGCGGGGCTGAAGATGTTTGCCGAGTAGAGGCTCTTAGCGGGTGCGCTGGGCCACGTGGCTTCGGCGCGGTCCATTGCGCAATACCCATACACGGTGTCCGGGTGGCTGTCGACGAGCTGCTGCAGAAAGGCCACGGCCTGCGGCAGGCGGTCAAACGTCATCGACGCAGTGGCGACAGCATCGGCGATGGCGCACGTCGACGCGGCGACGCACACCGACGCGACCGACATCTGGTTGGCCTTCATGACAGACAGCGTGTCTGCGCGCGCGATATGGTGGAAGCCGTAGCGCTGCACGGCAAAGTAGTCGCCCGACGTGGCGATGGCGGCGCCGTCAAGCTTACCGGCGTTTGCGCGGTCGAACGCAAAGTCTGCGAAGAAGGCGACGTCGTCGTCGCGCAGCAGCTCGTCCATGGTTCCGTCCTTCCAGTGCCCGAATACGCGCTTCAGTGACGGCGGGGCCATGACGGCCGAGCGCCACGGCCTGCCGTCTGGGTGGTGGCCCTGCGCGCGGATATCGCCGGCCCAGTCCACGTAGCAGTTCGGGTGTCCAGCGTTGACGAGGGCGGCGACGAGCAAGTCAATCACGAATCCCTTGGCAATGCCGTCGACATCCACGATGGTGTTTGCGTTGCCACGCGTGACGGTGTCTGCGGTGCGTGAGATTCGCTTGCGCCAGCCGATGGCGTGCTTGTACCGAGCCGTCTCCGCCGGCAGCGGCGGGCGTGCGTTGTCGGCGATGCAGTTCTCGTACGCGCGTGAGATGACGCCAGTGGTGGGGTCGAAGCGGCCGCCTGTGAGGTCGAAGGCGCGGTCGACGACGTCGAACAGGGCGGCGAGGTGCGGCGAGAGCGGGCGTGGCTTGGCGGGCTTCTGCGAGTTGACGGCCGTGAGCTCGCTGGCCGGGTTCCACGCGTTGAGATAGGTGTGGGCGTGGGCGAAGACGTCGTCCGCGAGGCGCTGCACGGCGGGCGCGTCCGCGA